AGTAAACTACTCACTATTACTACTACATTACTTGTTTATTACTAATGAGAATCCAGAAGAAAATAGGCAATTAAAAACATGATCACAGATGTACCATTTTAAGGATACATATATTACTCTTACAGCAAACATGAAGGTATTAGAATAGAAATATGGAATCTAGATCATACTGTTACAGTCATTTTCCAAATACAAGACTATCCTTGATTTTAGTACTTGACCATAGCAATCCTACCCTACCCAGGCATATTTGAATAAGCAAACTAAAATCCAGCCATTTTCAAGAAAATCAAACTTAAAAAAAAATTAGCAGAGGGATGATACTTCCCCATCTTTTTAAAATTTCAATCACCACCATGCTATTTTCTTACCAGTTATAAAGTAATATTGAGAGCAGGCATTGCACTGGACCAAGGACAGCAAAGCTCTACTAATAGCCTGCTTCACAAGTAACATCCTTTCCCTGTAGGCATGCCACCCTTTAACTCCAGACTATTTAGCTCATGTTCTTACCAATTACAATTCATCTTTTACCTTGTACCCTTCCTAACTCAAACAAGGTGCAAATTAAGGCTAGCTGCAATGCAGAAAAAAAGGCAAAAAGACTATTTTTGTAAGTCTTAGGGCCAAGACTGTATGGAAAAAGTTCAGAGTACTCCACGATATGGTAAATTACATGTAGTCATTGTAACAGACAAGCTTCTAAGGCTTTCAAAGCAGCAAGAAATAAGCAGCTGGCTACATGCCCTTTTTTTTTTTTAAAAAAAAAAAACAAAAAACTATCCAATGCCTGTCAGTGATCTAACTATGCAGCACTAGTCCTAGGGTAGAAAAAATAATCACAGGCATCCACATGACTGGGACAACCATGTGTGATCTTTAATGAAAAAGTCAATGATTACTAGATAGTAATTTAAAAAAAAAAATCAGGACTGTTTTGCAGATTAATCTCTTGGAATTCAGTAATATAACTCCTAAATGAATAAAAAGTATAAACTATCCAAACCCACGTTAGCAAAAATTTTAAAGAAGTGGGGGGTTGGAGGACTGGAAGTTTACAGAAACCATCCTTAAACACCGCATAAAGCTCACTAACAGAAGCAACAAACTACTAGTAGTTTGTTACTAGTCTAAGTGCTTCACTAACAAACTTGTAAAGGATTTGGTAATGTGACAAGTTATATATAACATATATAAAGCATTAAATTACAAAGGCAGTCAAGCTATGATCCCTTGGTATACTCAAGTAGTTGATGGCTATTGTAAAATCATCTATTTAGTAAACCCAATAGCAAGCCTATCATTATAGTGACTGCAAAAATAGAACATAGCAATCTCTGCACTTTCCTAAAAATACATCCATTAAAAGAATACTCAATTTAGTACTTGAAAATTGTGATAGACGTTTAGATCATATGCAGACAATAAAATTGGGTAGAATGTTTCAAAAAAATTACATATTTTTTGCTAGAACACACTATACATTTCCTTAATTGCAATCTTATCTTTATCAGCTAGAATTAGCAGTTGAGTAGCCAATTACCAGAAAGCTCTCCCTGAATAGATATACACTGAAACCAGCATTAATCAAGTCATATTCAAGGTAAAAGACTTACTAAATAGTTTGAAATTCAATAATGTTCAAAACTACATATCTTTATTAGTGTACTTATAAGTAAGGAAAATGCAGTAATTATATCACAGCAGCCCTTAAAAGTTCTTCTGTCATTTCACAGATAATAGAAATTTTAGTAGTCCACTGGGAACTCTTCCCAGCAGTACACACACAAGATTGAATTGGAAAAGTTTTAACTTGTCAAATATTTACTATACACACTTGCTTAACAAATAGTCAAGTAACAATTTTAAGAGCAGGTACTGCCTTGCAGCCTGATTTTATTATCCAAAGAGATTATTCAAACATTTGAGATCCAGTTAATAATGCACAGCTACTTTATGCTCTCTCCTTCAACGACAATTGTCCATCTAACTGGAGAGAGGTGAGAAAAACAGGGGCTGCACGTAACCAGCTACAGCAAAATTCACAGACCAGCCTACATCCTCAATACTGCATTGATTCCCATGTCCTCAAATGGTAGAATATCTGCTTATCTGCATTTCTTGTGTAGCATCCAATTTCTTGCTCAGAACTAACTTAAACATATCCAAGTTGCCTAACTTCTTGTTACTGTTTTAAGTATCTGTTTAACAAAAAGAATTCAACCTCTTCTTAAACATACCTGATCACAATTGACAGTTCTCAACCATGTCAGCTTTAAATATTTTGGAAAGCCAATAGGTGCTGCATATGTGCAGATGAGATTCTTTCAGATCCTACCTATAAGCTCTGTCTTACTGATAACTGTTCTTTGTATTTGTGACAGAGCAACCTCAAACACAAACTGTTCACACTAGCTGACTGTTCTGGAGCTCATGCAATAGAGATGTTCTTTCTAATCTGAACATACAATGCGTCACATTTGTAATACGTAAAGTTGTGGAGCCAACCCACTACTTAGGCTTCACGAGTTTCTTAGTTGTGTTATCCTGAACAGTAACACCTTAGTCTCCTGCTCAAAAAGCAAGTATCCGAGGAAACAATCATCCAATATCACTCCCAGAAAGCAAGCAGCACATGACAGTGCAAATTTCTATGTAACAAAACACAGTATCCATATAGCTCAAAGCATAAGAAAGCTATTTATGTGTCATGCTCTGACAGCCTCAGTAACTTTCACAGCACCCTGCAGAACCATGACACAAATGTATGCACAGGATAGAAAATCTCATGTTGTCCTAAAATACTTCTTTTCCTTCCCTCATCACAGCTACATTCCCAGATCATATTTAAACCAATGAAAGTGAGTTTCTTTCTAGGCAAGATCTGCTGTAACACGATAAACTTATGGTATCAATGGTACTCTGCAATCTTTGAAAAAGCTCAACTTAACTTTGTATTAAGTTTCAATTAGAGGGAGAAGACCTTAGATTATTTTTAAAATTTTACCATTAGAACTCCACACAACATCCACAAGCATCCTCAGTTATGAGGAGAAACCAAGATGTAAAATTATACTCTGCCCACAGCATTTTACACAATGACATCACAAATTCACACTTCACTGAAGTGTGGCAGGTCTAAACTTCATATTTTCCTCTGGATCTCTTACAAGTACAATCATGATAATCAAAACTGATGACAACCCAAGGATAAGTCTTTTCCATTTTTATCTATACTATAATGGTGTTCTGAAGTTAGATTACCATTCAATAATAGTACAAAGACGTAAAGAAATGTACTTTTTATAGGTATTTTTAATTATAAAAGCCAGTATTATCGTTTTATTCCATTGATCAAGTGTCTGTACAGCTTCATCTGCAGCAGTCAATCTAATCTGGGTGACGAGGTATCTATATGTGTTGATCATCTTGACAGCCTGTGCCCTATGTTTGCCAAATATTTGTTTCAATGCTCTCATGTAATAAATAGTATTGAAGATAATTTTAGCAAAACCTGAAACAAAGAAAAAGTAACACGTTTAAAAAGTCCCATGTAAATACAAGGTCAGAAGTCTTAAAAGTATACATGACATGGGGGAGACAGCAGTAGGTACAAGCAGCACCCTGCAGTTTGCAAAGCAAGAATCCCAAAACCAAACATGCCTGTCTGTTGCATGATAAGCAATAAGCTAAACATTCTCCCAAAAGAAGAGCATGGCAAAGTATACAGCCTATAGATGTAAAAACGGAACACTATCACTCTCTAATGCACCAGTAAAACTGTTGGTCACAAATAGCATCTGATTTTGCTATTCGCTATTCAGAAAGAGATGTCAAACAGCTGTATCAACTAAGGTGTGGGAAAACTAGATATTTTTTTAAGAACATAGTATCTCCAGTTTCAACAGGAAAGGCTCTCTAACACAACTTAATTATTTAACCTTAGAGCTTACAGTAAATGATGGTGTGTGAGAAACAATAACTAATTGCCCATTTAAATTATTTATGAGTAAGTCATCTCCATTGCTAATACTTTAATCAGGTGCAATTATTCTCCTTAAAGTTAGTGGCTTGATTCAGAAATTGCTGATGGTTGCACATCAGTATTCATAGTCACATTAAAAAAAAAAATAAATGCAGGCAAGATCACCGTAACCCATGAACATATTTAGCGATTTAAGTTGAACGCAGGCTTTCATAAGCCATTAAGTGCTCCACTTGGCTGAGCACTGCTCCACAGCAGTGGTCAGCCAAGCCTGGATAGTTTTCATGCCAGGCTAGGTAAAGAGCAGAAAATCTGAGGTCTAGATCCTGAGCAAACTCATAACGAGAAAACGCCATGTGGCCCAGCTGCCCGAGAGAGCTCGCTTACTCGCAAGGACCGCCCGAGGGCTCTACATGCTGCCCAGGCCCAAAGCGGTGCCAGGGCCCAATCGCGGCGCTCTCCCGGCCCACCAGCCCAACTCGGCCCCGGGAGCAGCGGGGCGCCGCCAGACACACCGCGCACGGCCCCGGGCGGCAGCAGCAGCGCACTGCGCTGCGACAACTGCGAGGGAAGCGAGCGGAGCCCCCAGGCCCGCGGCCCCACGAGCGGCCTACGGACCGCGCCGCGCCCCGTACCTGGCAGAAGCCCCGGCAGTAGGCCCGGGAGGAAGCCTCCGACACCTCCTGCTCGCAGAGCTCCGTCTGCAGCTGCCAGAGGCGGTTGCGGAGCGCCGCCACGAGCCGCTGCATCTCGGGCCGCGGAGCCGCCTCGGCCTCAGCGTCCGCCATCTGCACCCAGCCCCACAGCGCGTAGGCAATGATCACGTGATCCGCATCCACTGACCTCATCGTCCCGGGACGGCGTCACGTGACGCTCACGTGACAAAACGCGCTCTTCGCCGTCCACGTGATCTGAAACCTAGGCACCGATAAGGCGCAGGGTGGACGCCTCCTGTGTTGTGACGTCACGCGCCGCGACGGGAGCCTGCCTCGGCTCGCAGCGTGGGGGAGGGGAGGGGGGAGCGCCGCGCCGCGCAGCGCTGCGCTGCGCCGCCGGGCTTTCCGCGCGCCTCTGGCTCTCGCGCGTGGGGTGGGGCCGCGCGTCCTGAGGCGTTCGCGTGGCTCGCTCCGCCCCGCGAGCGGTCTGTTGTGCGGGCGTTCCGCGTGGCCCTTCGTCTGTCGCTTCTTCTGCCCTCGCTCGGAAACGGGGGTGCAACGCCAGCCTGTTGTATGCTGGCAGCTCTGTGGACACCGGCGTTCCTCTGCGTTTGGGGACGAGGTCGCAGAGAGAAGCTGTAAACGTCTGCTGCTGGCCCCAGAGTCAGCACAAGCAGAAAACCCAGTGTTAGGTAATTCCAGGGTAAGATTATCTGAAAGATAATAATGGGCAATAGTGAGAGCCAAATTTTTAATTTAGATTGCATTTGTTTTAATTCTTGTTTAAAAGCACTTGACTGGAAGCAGAAAACTGATGAATTTAGGAAATCCCTTGAGGGTCTCATGTCCAGCCAATATCCAGGAACAATAAGAATGCCAAATAGTTTTTACCTAAAGCTTTTCCTTACAGCAGAGAAATCATGTAACTGTGGAATAACATCAAGTTAGACAAAAATAGCCAGAAATCTGCGCTTGCAGCCGAAAAAGCCAACCGTATCCTGGGCTGTATCAAAAGAAGCGCATGCAGCCAGTAGGGAGTGGGAGGTGATTCTCCACTTCAGCTCTGCTCTCATGAGACCTGACCTGGAGAATTGCATTTAGCTCTGGGGCCTACAGTGTAAGAAAGACATGGACTTCTTAGAGCAGGTCCAGAGGAGGGCCATGAAGGTGACCAGGGGGGACAGAGCACCTCTGTCTATTCTTGATGAAGTCAGTAAAACTACTACCTTGGACTTCCAGAGGTTTCAGACTTTGAATTGTTCATGACACTGGTAGAGAGGGTCCCTTGAGAGTCAGTCCTGAAGAGCAGAGAGGTTCAGAAAGGCTGGATGTTTCTCAGGAAGAAAGCAAGTCCTTCTTCCTAAGAAAGGAAGTCTTCAAGGTATAGGCGCAGGCTGTCACCCTGTGCCGTAAGATGGGCTGGTGGGGAAGAAGACTGGCATGGCTCAACAGGGAACTTTTGATGAGTGTCCAGGAGAAAAAGAGATTTTATGGCCAGTGGAAGAAGGAGCAGGCAGCTTGTGGAGAGTACAAGGAAGTTGCCAGAATATGCAGAGAAAAAAATCGGGAAGGCCAAAGCCTAGCACAAGCTCAGCCTGGCTGCTATGGTCAAAGGTAACAAAAAGTTTTTATACATACATTAATGGCAAGAAGAGGGCCAAAGAGAATCTCCATTCTTTATTGGACGCAGGGAGGAACATGACTACTAAGGATAAGGAAAAGGCTGAGGTTCTTAACACCTTCTTTGCATCTGTCTTTACTAGCCAGACCACTTATGTGAGAAAGAGTTGTGTCTTTGCAGGGGAAAATTGCATTAACCTTGCATATTCAAAAGTGTTTGGGTGGCATAGCAGTGGGGAGTATGTTAAGCAGATAAGGGGAAGGTCCCACTGTCATAAGGAGGATAGCTAAGAAAAACAGGATGAGCAGTATGAAATCAGTAAAAACAAAAATCATGGGCCCTCTAGTCACAAGAGAAGAAAAAAAAGGAAAAGGAGAAATTAACAGTTGGTCAAATTAAATTGTACGTATATGGTATAGAATTGTGTTGAATAGGTTGTGAACCTCTAGTACTCAGCCAATGAGGAAATGGGAGAAATCAGGTGTCAGGTAATAGGGAATATATGGTAATGATAAACTTTAACTGTGTGCTAATGCTTGCAGGATGCCAGCCATTGCAATTGCGAATAAAGTAACTTCACAGAATATCCTGACTAAGAAAATTATTGAGATTTTTCTCACTTATCCTCAGGGTACTCATCCTCCTGACCTGGAAGTCTGGGACAAGGAGCAGAAGAACACCCCACAGTTCAGGTGGAAACAGTTAAGAGACCAGCTGCTCCACCTGGACTGTCGCAAGTCCATTGGGCCAGATGGGATCCACCTGAGGGTGCTGAGGGAGTTGGAGGATGTGATTGCTGTGCCACTTTCCATCATCTATCAGCAGTCATGATCAACCAGAGAGGTCCCAGGTGACTGGAGATTTGCTAATGTGACGCCCATCTATAAGAAGGGTTGTAAGGAGGACCCGGGGAACTGCAGGCCTGTCAGCCTGACCATGGTGCCAGGAAAGGTAATGGAACAGGTCATCTTGAATGCAATCACACAGCATATGTGGGACAACCAGGGGGATAAGGCCCAGCCAGTGTGGGTTTGTGGAAGGCAAGTCCTGCCTGACTAATCGAGGCAAGGAAATAAAGCTTCACAACTTGAGGAGAATTATAAAGCAGGCATGTTTATGGCAGCTGGGTGCTAGGGAGATTGCTCCTCCTAGTTTGCACACCAAGGGTTACTCCCAAGGTGCTTATATTAATAGCATATATACATATTCCTTCCCCCCCCCCCCCCGTAAGTCTCTTGCATATTCATTAGGTATCCAGAGAATCATTAACATAGGTTCCTGCCCCTATTTGCATGCGTGCTAGAGTCCTTGGGTGGTTGTCCAGTGTACTCTGGTGATCTTTTGATGAACACCAGAAGTCTTCCTCGCTGCTAAACTTTTGACCCTTCCTTTCTTTTACAGACTTCAGCAGTCCAAGCCTGTTCTTGCTGGTTCTATTGTCTATGTGTATGAAGTCTTTTCTTCCCTTGTCTTTTAGGGTCATCCCATCCTTGTACTCCCTACTGCAGTCCTGTCATTGTGGTTGATATACAACATACTCCCTGTGTTAGCTAGAACCTGCAAAATTGACGTGCTTTCCCTTGTTCCCTGTCTCAAGTTCCCCATTTTATTTATCCTAAGCAAATTCTTTTGCCATATAACACCATTCCCTTTGAGGGTCTTGGTGAAATACTTGCCACTTTCAGTGTTCTGTCTCAACTTATGCTTTTTCCATTCCTCTTATGAGTTCACAGTTTGTTTACATATCCACATGAAACACTGAAACATACAACATATTAATAATCCTAATACGATAATTATAATGACTACAATAGAGAGCTGCTTTAGCCATGTAAAATTAGGTAGCCAAGAAGTAAGTTTTTCCCAAAGTTCTGAAAATCCCCAAGAACTATCATCCCTTCATGGCAGAAATATTTACAATTGCCTTTTCTAATTCACTAACCCCTAGCCAAGGCAGAAACCATCAGACAAAATTATGGAATTAGGTAGGCCTTTCTACCAACGGGTTGGTACTTTGCCTAGCTCATACCCAGGGATTCTGTAGGATCCCCCAAGGTATCTGAGTCTGATTAATAATTTTATGCTGGGAAATTATACTTCCAAGTGTATGAGTTCCCTTCCAGGATCTGGGCAATATTTTCTAGGCCCACCCATCCCCACATAACCACCAAAATCCGGTAGGGGCTGGGCATGTGAATATGGTGCTCATGGCCTTACTCTTTGCCTGAACTGTATGATTAAGGTAAATTTCTTTGAGGGTTACATCCAAAACCTTTAACTCCAATTTAGATATTGTTTGGATGGATGATTCTTCTTGCAGATTTGTAATAGTACAATTTATAGTGGTCAGATTAATACTTCCAGATTGAGGAGAAAAACTGCAGGTTCCCATTGACTTGTTCTTACATCTCTCTAGGAATATTCCTCCAGCTGGAGGGTAAATCTGGGTCCCTTTATGTCATTTGTCACATTTTATTTACATTGTAACAGACGTTTTCCCAGCCTTCCACATATTGACACCTGTGGCATTATTGATAAAAGTCCAATTTGAGGTCATAACTCTGTATAGTAGTATTTCTAGGTTTCCCCTTGGCATGGCCATGCAGACCCAACAGTCTTTGGCTCTGGTCAAATTGACCCACATAGGTGTCAATTTAAAGTGATAATTGGTTTCCCATGAGAGGGTGGGACCTAACCATAGGCTGAATAAACCCAGCATTGTCCATCTTTTTTGCTGAATTTGGAGTTTCAACGGTCCTGTAGGTGCTGACTCCCATTGTGGTCTAGATGCCCTCTTTATTCTGGTGTGATGTATCCATGATGTCTGTTCTTTAATCTTGACTGCTGTGTAAGTAGTCAATAACACTTGGAATGGGCCTTCTCATTTTGATCCTAAAAGTGTATCTGAAAGAGATCTAACGTATACATAATCACCAGGTTCAATATTGTGCACAGGCCCATCAAGACCTCAGGTCCTAGTTCTAGGACCAGCTTCTTGACTTCCCGAAGCTGTTTCTGCAGGCTTATTATGTAATCCCTCAGTATCTTGCTGCCGGTCTGAGTTGATATTCCAAACTGTATGATATAGGGCTTTCTGTACACTATTTCAAAAGAACTCGACCCCTTCTTGGTCCTGGACTTAGTCCTGGTTCTCAGAAGTGCTAAAGGCAATGATTGAGGCCAGGACAAATGGGCCTCCTGTCCTAATTTTGCAATCTATATCTGAATTAGGTGGTTTATTTTCTCTACTTGACCACTGGATTGAGGGTTATGTGGGGTATGTAGTTGCCAATCTATTCCCAGATGCTTATGACCTTTGCAACAAAGTGTGATCCTCGATCTGATGAAATTACCACAGGAACACCAAATCTCGGCATTATTTCTCGTAACAATGCCTTGGGTACCTCCTTAGCCTTGTTAGTTCAGCAAGGGAATGCTCCCAGCCACCCTGAAAAGGTATCCATCAAGACCAACAGATACTGAAACCTCCCTTTTCATGGGAGTTCTGATAAATCAATTTGCCATTGCTGTCCTGGATAATTTCCTCTCCCTGTTTGCCCAAGCTGGACTTTAGGCCCCAATTTGGGATTATTCTGTAAACAAACCTCACACTGTTGTTACTTGCTTGATGGTAGTATATAGATTCTGGGCAAATATCAGCCGGCGCAGATACCTATATATGGCTTCTGTTCCCCAATGGGATTTTCTATGCTCTGCCATAACTATGGCCCATAACAATGCAAAAGGTATTATTATTTTATCCTCTGGTGTTTTTGCTCATCTACCTTGTTCTATTTTTCCCCCTAGATTTTCAATTAATTTCTGATCTTCTTTGGAATACCTGGGTTCACAATCAATATGTACCTTACCATCTGGGACCAAGGACTGTATTCCTAAGTCATTTTTCTCAGCCACTCTTTAGGCCTCCTGGTCTGCCATAGCATTGCCCAATTCCTGAGCGGTATTTCCCTTTTGGTGAGCTTTGCAATATATTATAGCCATCTTTGCAGGTAGCTGTACTGCTTCCAGGAGCTTTAGAATCTCTTTAGTGTGGTTTATATGTTTCCCTTGAGTAGATAAGAGTCTTCTCTCCTTCCATACAGCCCCATGATCATGGACTACCCCAAAAGCATACTTGGAGTCTATCCAGATGTTAATTTTCTTGCCTTTGGATAGTTCCAATGCTCGAGTCAAAGCTATTATTTCCACCTTTTGTACTCAGCTCTGGTGAGGCTGCACCCTGAGTACTGTGTACAGCTTTGGGCCCCTCAGTAAAAAAGTACATTGAGATCCTGGTACATGTCCAGAGAAGGGCTATGAAGCTGATGAGGGGCCTGGAACACAAGTCCTGTGCAGAGCAGCTGAGGGAACTGGGGTTGTTTATTTTGGAGAAGAGGAGGCTCAGGGGAGGCCTCATTGCTCTCTACAACTTCCTGTAAGGCAGGTGTGGGGAGCTCGGGGTCAACCTCTTCTCACAGGTAACTCATGATAGGACCAGAGGAAATGGCTTCAAATTGCACCAAGGGAGGTTTAAGTTAGAAATTAGGAGACATATCTTCTCAGAAAGAGTAGTCAGGCATTGGAACGGGTTTCCCAGGGAAGTGATGGCATCACAATCCCTGAGAGTGTTTAAGGAAAGGTTAGACCTGGTGCTTACAGACATAGTTTAGTGGGTGACATTGGTAGTAGGATGATGGTTGGACCAGATCTTGAAGGTCTCTTCAAACCTTAATTATTCTATGATTCCTACGAAGACAGGCTGAAAGAGCTGGGGTTGTTCAGCCTAAAGGAGCGAAGGCTCTGGGGCAACCTTATAGTGGCCTTCCAGTACCTAAAGAGGGCCTACAGGAAAGACTCCCTTTATCAAAGAGTGTAGTGATAGGACAAGGTGCAAAGGTTTAAACTAGAAGAAGGTAGGTTTAGATTAGATATTCAGAGGAAATTCTTTACTCAGAGGGTGGTGAGGCACTGGAACAGGTTGCTCAGAGAAGCTGTGGATGTGCACAAGGCCAGGGTGGGTAGGGATTTGATCAACCTGATCTAGTGGGAGGCGTTTCTGCCTATGGCAGGGGGGCTTGGAACTTGATGGTCTTTAACATCCCATCCAACCCAGGCCATTCTATGATTCCATGTGCGGAAAAGTGTAAAGGTTTTAACAACAAAAGTTAAAGAATTAGTAAAAGACAACTGGCAGAAACAAAAGTTATTTTAAAAATCAGATGGCTAAATGCAGCTCTGCATGTACTTATGAGTCATAGTGTAAATCTAAACAATTCCTGTGTTTCTTCTTAGGCAAATATATTTGATCAATATGACACGAGAAAGTCTTCATTTTTTAGGTGGGTGTAACAAGAAGTTTATCAGTTATGTGAAACCAGAAGGTTTAAGAAAGTTTTTTTCAGACATTTTTGTGTAATTGACCTCCTGGGCTACCATTTCAGTTGTTTTTTTGGCAAAAGCATGAATGTGGACAACACAATGGAAAAGTTCATATAAATGACATCTAAAATGCAAGCTTGAATATTTATTTGGTAGGACGGGCAGAACACTGATGAAAATAGGGAATTACCTAAGATTCACGCTCTGGTTGAGTTTCTAATCTCAAGGAATATGGGCTTGGCTAAGAACAAAGTCAGGTCCCTGACCTTCAGAAGAGCCAACTTCCAACTGTTCAAAGGAGTGGATGAGATCCCATGGAACATGGTCCTTGGGGACACAGGATATGATCAGAGCTGGCAACTCTTTAAGGATATTTTCATTAGAGCACAAGAGCTCTTTATTCCCATATGTAATAAATCAAGCAGGGAAGGTAGGAACTGGCATGGTTGAACAAGGACCTACTGGTTAAACTTGAGCAAAAGAAGGAAATGCACAGACGGTGGAAACAGGGCCATGTGCCCTGGGAAGAGTACAGAAATGCTATGCGGGTGTGCAGGGTTAAGATCAGGAAAGCCAAGGCACTAACAGAACTAAACTTGATGAGGGATGCAAAGAATACCAAGAAGGGGTTCTACAGGTACATTGACCACAAAAGAAAGACCAAGGAGAGTGTATCGCCTCTGACAAATGAAGGAGAACAGGTAACAACAGATGTGGAGAAGGCAGAGGTACTTAACTTCTTTACCTTGGTCTTCACTGGTGGTCAGGCTTCCCACATCTCTTGAGTCCCTGGACCTCTAGGCAGGGACTGGGGGAGCAGAGTCCCTCCCATCATAAGTGAAGAGCAAGTTTGGAACCTCCTGATGCAACTTAACAAGTACAAGTCTGTGGGCCCTGATTACATGCATCCCAGGGTCCTGATGGAATTGGTTGATGTAGTTGCCAAGCCACTCTCCATCATATTTGAAAAAACGTCAGTCAGGTGAAGTCCCCAGTAACTGGAAGGCATGTCCAGGTCAGCAGGGGGCGTAACAGCAAAAGCCTTCGATGTCTGTAGCAGCAGAGGGGCTGATGGCATAGCAGTCAGATCAGTAAACGAGCCTGCAGCTCCCTCACTGTCTGGCAAACTACACATTTCTGACTGTGGTCCCACACGGCTCTTTAAGGCCTCAGAGACTGCTCGCCAGGTGCTAAGCAATCCCACTGCAACCTTGCCATTTTTAGTTGCAGAGCCCCACACCTTGACCTCAGTTTGGTCCCATATTTCAGGCTCATAAACTGTCCGATTGTTAAGAAGAAGAATAAGCTGTAAGGTTACCAGGACAGTCTTTGTTCCTATGGAGGATTAATAAAGAAGGGGGAGATTTGGGAATGTGGCCATGGGGGTTGGAAAGCCCCATGGTTGAGATAACATTAGACTCTTAATGATGAGGCCATCAGGAATATAAAAGAGTTTAGAGGGAACAAAGAAGGGTGATTCAGGAGACTCCATGCAGTCTGGGGTTTCTTGTTCTCCAGCCATTACGGCATGGAAGTTTCTGGGTGTTTGCTGTTGTTGTTATATTCAAAGTTGTCTGACCAATGAAAAGTTGTTTTGAAAAGAACTGCTGTGGGGAGAAGGGTATAAGAAGGGAGCCTGCCCTCAAGATAAAGAAAAAAAAAAAAAAAAGAAGGCAACACGATGAAGTCATGTCATCAATAAAGAAGCAGGAAAAAGAAGTGAAGAGGAACAGGCTGGCAGAATGGGGACCAGGACTGGAACAGGCACATTGATTGCCTCATGAAGATAGGTTCCGCCAAACTCAGCAAACTGCTCAGAGAAGCTCGTGCAGAAAGTTGCTGGAAATAGGTGCACTGGAGCTGGAGAGAAGCTCCAGCTGAGAGAAGCGGACCTGTGCACACAACTGCCTCTCGCTGGTAAGCAGTTGTGCATTATGGGGAATCATATGTCCTTAGAAACAAAGACTGTCCTGGTAACCTTACAGCTTATTCTCCTTATTAACAATTGGACAGTTTATGAGCCTGAAATATGGGACCAAACTGAGGTCAAGGTGTGGGGCTCTGCAACTAAAAATGGCAAGGTTGCAGTGGGATTGCTTAGCACCTGGCGAGCAGTCTCTGAGGCCTTAAAGAGCCGTGTGGGACCACAGTCAGAAATGTGTAGTTTGCCAGACAGTGAGGGAGCTGCAGGCTCGTTTACTGATCTGACTGCTATGCCATCAGCCCCTCTGCTGCTACAGACATCGAAGGCTTTTGCTGTTACGCCCCCTACTTACCTGGACATGCCTTTTGACCCAGGCCTATTGGCCTTGAAAAGGAGATGGATATGCTTTTCTTCGATCCGGGAAGAATGGGATACATAAGGCCTGAAGACCGAGTTGCTTTACAACTTAAAGCGAGACATATTGTTCAAAAGGAATGGTAAATGGAGACTGTTATGTTATGGAACTTAAAGGATTGTTTGTTACCTTTTCTGAATGTGCATATGTATAGGCGTACTCGAGTTTAGTAAGTCATTGAACTTAGAGGATTGTTTGTTACCTTTTCTGATTGTATAGGCATACTCGAGTTTAGTATGTAAAAGCAATGTTCTGTATATTTAGAATGTTTGATGTTCATGTGTGCGTGTTAGTGGAGTGTGGACTCCCCCCACACCCAGTGCTGTTTACTTGCCTTTTATACCTTTTATAGCTTTTATACCTTTTATAAATATTTGTTTTATAAATATTACAAATTCAGATTGAGTTGAGACTTCATATATAACAACCACAAGTCTAAGAAAAACAGAGTGGTTAATGTATATAGTTCTTGTATCTTTCAAAAGAATGGTCCAGCAATTCGTGTCAGTAGGGGATTTGAAGGGTTAACATTGAGGCCCAAGTCTGGGTTTGGGAGATAAGAGAATGAGCGGAAGTTTTTGAGATAACTGCTGACTATTGCATGAGATGCTGCACAAGTCTCTGACATCTGGCCCAGAGACTACCAAATAAGGAGAGAAGGGAAACTGAAGGACTTCACTGGTAAGCAGTTGCGCATTATGGGGAATCATACGTCCTTAGAAACAAAGACTGTCCTGGTAACCTTACAGCTTATTCTTCTTCTTAACAATCGGACAGTTTATGAGCCTGAAATATGGGACCAAACTGAGGTCAAGGTGTGGGGCTCTGCAACTAAAAATGGCAAGGTTGCAGTGGGATTGCTCGGCACCTGGCGAGCAGTCTCTGAGGCCTTAAAGAGCCGTGTGGGACCACAGTCAGAAATGTGTAGTTTGCCAGACAGTGAGGGAGCTGCGGGCTCGTTTACTGATCTGACTGCTATGCCATCAGCCCCTCTGCTGCTACAGACATCGAAGGCTTTTGCTGTTACGCCCCCTGCTGACCTGGACGTGCCTTTTGACCCAGGCCTCATTGGCCTTGAAAAGGAGATGGATATGCTTTTCTTCAATCTGGGAAGATCAGGATACATAAGGCCCGAAGACTGGGTTGCTTAACAACTTAAAGTGAGACATATTGCTCCCACGACTAGCCCTGGAATTCTCTGGTGTTTGTAATTAAGAAAATGAATGGAAAATGGAGACTGTTAAGTCATGGAAGATATGGGAGCACTTCTGTCAGGATTACCAACTCCAACTATGCTCCCCGAGACATGGACATTAATAGTAATAGACTTAAAAGATTGTTTGTTACCTTTTCTGATTGTACATATGTATAGGTGTACTTGGGTTTAGTATGTAAAAGCAATGTTCTGTATATTTAGAATGTCTGATGTTTGTGTGTGCATGTTGGTGGAGCGTAGACTCCCCGCGCACCCAGCACTGTTTACTTGTCTTTTATAAATACTACTAAATTCAAATTGAGTTGAGACTTCATTTATAACATACCTACTCTATAACTCATTTGCTTTTGACTTGTAGAGTTCTTCCATGAATCATCAGGATCTGAGGAAGGCTGGCTTTGCAGAGCCTGGGCTCTGTCCAGGATCAGGAAGGGAAAGGGCTTGTGTGTGGCTGTGGCACAGCCAGTTTGAACAGGGGGGTTCTCAGGTGAGCACTGTGCAGAGTCACTGCTGTGCTCACAGCCCTTTTGTCTGCTCCTGCTTTGTTGCTCCCCAGCTCCCTTCCCCTGCATTCCCTGTATGGTGGGCACAGTCTGGCTGACCTCCAGCATTTCAGACTGTCGCGTTAAGGGGTGTAGCTAATTAACTGTTATGGGTCTGGTCAGATTCAGGGTACTGAACTATCACAATCACAGATTCACTAATAACACATTAACCGATATGGGTCTGGTCGGATTCAGAGAATTGAACTACCATGGTCACAGATTCACCAATAACATATAACTGTCCTAACTCTAGTTGCATTCAATGAGAACTATCACGGCTAGGAACAATGCAGGTAAATGCAATTTATTCCAGCAACAAGTACACAGGTTCTTTGGATTGCCGGTGATCGTTACTGTCTGCAAAAGCAAGCTAGCATGCATGAAATACACAGGTATGCAGCCTGGAAATTAACGCGCTAAAAGGCACAAAGACTCTATAGAGGTTTCTAAGTTTCCTCAGAGACAAATGGTATAACTAAGTGTTCAGATCTCAACCAGAGGCATCCCAATGTGGGGGGGGGAGGGAGAAGAGAGGCTCAGCCCGTCGAGTCAGGAGGTCCTCAGGATGGTGTATTCTCTCGTGACTGTATCTCCCCTGATAGTGGTATCTTCCCTAATGTTGGTACCTTCCCTAACGTCCCCTCTCAGGCCAATTTATATTATCTTCTGTCTTTGTCTCTTCTGTGCAAGAGCAGGTACCAGGGCAAGAACCTGCACATGCATGCTGATTCTGCTTGGTGACAGTGGATGACTAAGAAACCGCCTTTACTTGGTATGACATTTGCCTGCATTGCCTCTGTCCCTTTGTCTGAGATTGGTAGTGTGTGACCACTTCCTTGCCAAAGCTCATCCTTCTGCACAGTCTCTCTGTCTGTCCCTTTAGAAAGAAAGCAGGACAGTGTGACTATAAGTAACTGCTCCTCTTTGGGAAGATGGTATCTTTGGAAGGCAGTGCTTCTCAAAAGACATCCCTAAAATTTAGAAGCTAAAGCCTGGGCTTTATGGGGAGCTACTCACTACTCCAAACAACATGTCATTCACAAAGAAAAATCTAAGTGCTTGACTCTTGGTGGTTTACCAGCACAGACAGCAAAATCTGTCATCATGTGAGACCAGAAGATTGCAGGAGATCTTCTGGTTCACATTGCATGTATTGCATTTTTTGCAAACTGCAAGATGATGCTCAATTCCTTCCTTCAAAGATGACAGGAAAAAGCTGCAGCCAGTTCAGAGGCAGGAACAGTTCTTCTGAGAAGCACGTCTGTTCTATCATGCTGACTGTGTCCCACAGGAAGAGAAACAGATACACGTTGGGCTGAGCTGCAAACTCTTGAACCATATTCTGGACAGAGTCACAAGCAGCCAGAAAGAGCCTGCAGTCCCCAAACAAGAGGGAAATCACAGCCAAGTCATTTGAAACACAACTAGAAATGGATGGCTAAATTAGCCAAGACTGACTTAAGTGCTTTTCCTTTCAACTGCCTTCAAGTTAGGGGTCCAGCCTCAAGCTGCATGTGCAGCTTGAACTCATTCCTGCCTACAGGCTGTCACTGAGAATCCTCAGTCATCAAAGAGAACAAGAGGGTTAGGCAGGGTTGCTCTGATCCCAGCTGATGATCCAAATGTGCCTTCCCTCTGCTGCCCAGCGGTGCTCTCCCCTGCAGTGACTGGGTCTGCCGGCTCATGAGGCAACCAGCACTGCTTGGGATGTCCTTCCTGCCTTGACCTCTCCCAGTTGCAAGCAGTGCTGTGCGTGAGCTGAACCCAAGTTCAGCACACGCCCATTGCTGCTGGCTGGATGCTGTTGTTTTCACAGAATGGCTTGGATCAGTAATGGTAATGCTGGGGTAGCAGCTGCCCCTGGGACACAGCTTGACCAACAAGTGACAGCAGTCTCTCGGCCATCTCTGGGGTTCACCAGTGCCTGCAAGGTGTGAAATTGAGTGTCTCTGTTCTGATCAATCCCTTCCTGCTGTGCAGGTTACAGTGTGTCCAGACATGTTCTTGATCCTCTCAACAATCAGAAGCATGATTCCCAGCCTTTCACCAAACTTCCCAGGTTGTAAGTAGTAATCTGTCCATGACTTCTCGAGGAATCCCCTTTGAGATGCCTTTGATTCATACTATATATCTTTTACTATTGGATTACTGCTTCATGGTCAGCTTGTTGGCCAGCAAGGCCCTTCCATCCAGTTTACTTCAATGCTGGGTGCACCCAGCATGTCCTCATGCTGGGTTTGTTTCTCACAAGGGGGAAGGGCTCTGCAATCTCTCTCTCTCCATGTCGAGCATCATGAGGGTTTTGTCAGTCCATTTCTCAGTCCTGGAAAATTCCATCCAGTGCAGATGCCCGAGATAAGATTAATGTGAGATGAAGTGATTTGTAGAGAGATGAAGTGATGAGAGGTGAGGGGAAGGGAGGTCAGGTGAAGCTCAATTCTTTTCACCAAACCTTGTCTCACCTCAGCTAATCTCTCCTTTCCTCTGATTGGCTTGGCTCAGGTCACATCACTTAACCTCATTTCTTCTCACCTCATCTCAGGTCACACCACCTCCTCTCTGCTCAGCTCAGTTCAGGTCACCAGAATGCACATTACTTCATGTGATCTTGTTTCATCAAATCTCATCTCACCTCACCTTACAACAACTCACCACATGTGACACATCTTCTCAGCTCATGTAACCTCACACCATCTTATATCACCTCACCACACCTTGTCACATTTCCTCTCACCTCACCTCTCCTAATCTAACTCCAGTTTGCCTCATCTACCTCACCTCAACCAATCTCACATCATCTCACTTTACCTCAAGTAACCTCACCTCACCTATACTCTCCTCAGTTCTGGGCATCTCAGCTCAATTCACCTCACCTCATCTATCTCGTATCAACTCACTTCACCTCATTCCCCCTCTCGCCTCACCTCATGTTACCACACTTTATATCAATTTACCTCAACTCCCTTCAGATCACCTCAGGCCAGTTCACATCACATCACTTTACCTAATCTCTCTGTACCTATGGTCAGTTAAGCTGACGTCATACCATGTCACCTAAATTAACTTCCCCATATCTCACATGATCTCACAAACCTCACCTCACCACATGTAAACTCACCTCACCTTATATTCCAACACCTTATTTCTCCAAAACTCTGCTCTCCTAATCTCACTCCTCAGTCTCTCCTAATCACTGCTCATATATACCACCTCATCTAAACTCAGCTCACATAATCTCACCACACCACGTCTCACCTTAACTGAACACATCTATCTTACCTAAACTTCACCGATCATGTATCACTTCAACAGATTATTTTATCAAATATCGTCTCCCATCCCCTCCCTTCCTCTCCCCTTGCCTCATCTCTCCAAAGATCTGCTCACCTAATCCCACTCCATCTCCTATCATCTACAACATCTCAGCTCCCTTCACCTCATCTCATCTTCCATCATGTCACCTCATCTCTCTGAAACTCTGCTCTCCTATTTCCACTCCATCACATACCTACAACACCAAATAAAGAATTGCTTGTGAATACCAGCTGAAGACCCCTGAAGGTTAGGTCCCTGTAGTGGGTTTACGTGGCAAGGTTTTGGTAGCAGGGGGCCATAGGGGTGGTTTCTGTGAGAAAGATCTACAAGCCGCCCCATGTTTGGGAAGGGCCCCATTGTTTTCCAGTTCTGAGCCAATAAGCGATGTTGTTTTGTGCCTCTGTGAGAGCATATTTAAGACAGGGAAAAAAACGCTGCGCCACACAGCAGCCAGGAGAGTCAAGGGAGTGAGAAACAGCCTTGCAGATGCCAAGGTCAGTGTAGAAGGAGGGGGGAGAGGTGCTCCAGGCGCCGCAGCAGAAGTCCCCTGCGGCCTGTGGTGAGGACCATGGTGAAGCAGGACGTCCCCCTGCAGCCCATGGAGTGCCACGGTGGAGCAGGGTTCCACGCTGCAGCCCGTGGAGGAGACCACGGTGGAGCAGGTGGCCCTGCACCGACGGAGGCTGCCGCCTGTGGAAGACCCCTGCCGGAGCAGATTCCGGGCCAGACCTGTAGCCCGTGGAGAGGAGACCACACAGGAGCAGGCGACCCGGCAGGAGCTGCTGCCCGTAGGGGAGCCAGGTTGGAGCAGTTTTCTCCTGAGGGATGGACCCCGTGGTACGGACCCATATCTGGAGCAGTTCTGGAAGAGGTGCTGCCTGTGGGAAGCCCACGCCTGATCAGTTCATCAAGGACTGCATCCCATGGGTGGGACCCCACAGCACAGGGGACGAGAGTGACCGAGAAGGAGCGGCAGAGAAGAAGTGCTGTAGACTGACCATAACTCCCATTCCCCCGTTCCCCTGCGCTGCTAGGGGGGAGGAGGTGGAAGAGGGTGGATGGGGGGGGGAAGGTGCTTTTGGTTTCTTTCCTTTGTTTCTCACTTCTCTAGCTTGTTAGTAATGAGCAATAAATCCTACTATCTTCTTATGCTGAGTCTGTTTTGCCCGTTACAATAATTATTGCGTGATTTTCTCTTCCTTATCTCAACCCTTGAGCCCTTTTCACATATTTTCTCCCCATTCCTCTTTGAGGAGGGGGAGTGAGAGAGCGGCTGTGGTGGAGCTCGGCTGCCCACTCGAGCGGAACCACGACATGCATGAACATGTTTTAATCCAGGCTGTTAAATGCTGTCTGATAATGTTGCAGGTGAAAGTTCTGCTATTGTATCTGTTCAGGGTATGAGGCTGTGCCTATTGGCCTGCATGATCATGCTGTATGTACTGTATCCTATTTTCTGCTCTGCCTCTTTTTCAGAGAAAACAGCGGAGTTGTTCCTCCAGCATGTGGACAGTGCTTGTGTTTTCTGGAATGCCAGTACCCGATTCTCTGATGGATATAGATTTGGACTCGGTAAGTGTCTGTGGTGTGCAGGCAGCTAAGCACCACAAAGCTGTTTGGGAGTGTGGGAGGAAGGAAAGACTGGAACAAAACTGAGTTTCAGTTACCTAAGTAAACAGGTGCACGTACTAGGAATTGCAGAAGACAAGGGAAACATTAATTCCTGAGGGAGAAACTACTAGAAATCTCTGTAGCAAGCTCGAACACGCAGCGCTCTATGTACTAAAAAAAATGTAATTAGGGTTTTATAAGATCATGCAGTGGTCCCTTTAAAAAGATGGGGGGGGGGGGGGGGAGGGAAGGACATAAGATTGCAATCTTGATTAATTAAGTTCTTATGGTTCAAAGGGTAAACCCTCAAATGAATGCATGATACATGTAAGACATGTGTACCTTTCTGGCTCACTTTTCTCTCTAAAAGTGAAGCTGTAACAGACAGAAGTATAAACACTGCAATTTATAATAGTTAATTTCCTCTAATCAGAACAGATAAAAATCACTTCTGACACTTGGGGAGGAGCTCATGCTGAATGAAGGGAGGTCATGCTGAATGACTGCTTCTGCATAAAGATGCAGAGCTTTATAGTGCAAAGTTGAATATCTTCTGAAGATCAACTACCTCTACCTTGTGTGTTTTCTACAGATACTGAAGTTGGTGTTAGTACTTCTCGTATCCAAGCACGAGGACCAGTGGGAACTGAAGGACTCTTCACTACAAAGTGGTTATGAGAGGGGACAATCATGTTGTTTCTGACTTTTCAGAGCATGGGAGCATGAAGTGTCCTCATGAGAGCCTACCTCTCCCTCAGGGAAATACCAACTGAGTACTTTTTGAGAAAATGCAGGGGTAAAATGTGTATTGAAGACGTTCGGGCTTCAGGGTGCTCCCTGTGGGGAGAGATTTGTTTTTCCTCTCCGGGGGCATTGTTCTTGGTCACTGTGCAGTACAATGAATATGAAGTGATCCTATCTGTGACAAACATTATTTGTTGCTGTTTCCTTAGATAGCATCTGATAGCAAACTGACCTTGCTTTTGCCAGAGAGGTTTCTTCAAAACATACAGATACCATAAGGAGAAGTTTAAACACATGCTGCATTCTTTTCCTCCCTTTGCTCCCCGCCAGCAAAGATGCCTGGTGGTAGAGTGTAAGTTTTTTTTTCCTGTCTTTACTTTGAACATCTGTCTTGGTGAACAAACTTGGTAGCTTTTCTTTGCTCGTGTGATCATGGCAGCTCTTGAAAGCTCTAAAGCTTTAAGACACTTACTGTCTTTGTTTGATCGCTCTGCGATTCCTATGCATTTGAAACACGTATTTCATTAATGTTTTGACCAAAAAACCTTTTTTATCTAATTTCTCTGTATTTTTGACAACTGTAGATAAATAGCGCAAGTGTGTTTAGTATGAATATTGTTATCTATGTCTACCAGACATTTATTTGTCGTGGGTTTTATATGAAATGTAATCCCTCTACTTTGAAGTTTAAAATAAGCCCTGAATAAATGCTTCCTTTTGCATACTGGAAGAAGTGAGCTCACATGTGCATGCTGCAGTGGGGGGCTCAGTGCAGCCCTCCATAGGTCAGGGTGGTTGGAGTGTCAAGGTGGGTGGGGAGGGAGTGGAATGGTGCCATGCTGCAAATGCTGGCAGGGCAGGGAGAGGGATGTGTGCAGGCTGCACGGGGACATCCTCTCCTGTGCATCCGTTTCTTGCTGCTAACTTGCCTCTGCATGCTTTGTTGACTGCTGGCATGTGTGTGGTCCTCAGGAGCTGACATAGTGGCACACAGGGCTTGTCTAGGCATCTGGGTGTCTGCTGGGTAGCCATGTTACCCCCACTCACCCATTTTGGACCGTTGCACTCTACTCTGGAACCCTGAGAAACCCATTATGCCCCACACTCCTCTTGTGCTTTGATGCTCTCCTGAGACTTTGTGACAACTGCTTGCGCTGAACCTGCACAGCATTGCAACCACAACTGGTACTGCCCATCAGTGACAAAAGCACTGCACCCAGGTTTATACGCCTGCAGTAGCATTCCCTGCAATTCCTCTGTCCAGCTACCGCTGTTAGTCCTTCCTCTGTCCCACTCGTCTCTTGGTCTTTTTGATTCCTCTGCCCTTCTCTGTGTCTGTGTTCCTCTATCCTTTCCCCTGTTCTCATGACATCTAATCTAACTCCCCTCTTTTAGTTTAAAAACTCCCTTGCCCTGTCATTATCTGTCTGAGCAAAAAGTTGCTCTCCAACTTTTTTTATAAGCTGCCTTTAGGCACTGAAAGGCGGCAATCGGCTCCCCCTGGAGCTTTTTCTTCTCCATGGTGAACAACTCCATCTCTCTTGGCCTGTCTTCAGAGGGGAGAATCCCCATCGTTTGTTCTAATTTTGGTCGGCTTAACCGTTTCCATCAATGAGGAAATGGTTAAGGCAATTACTCCACAACTACCCAAAGCAGCAGCGATAGTGAGAAGCCCACTTCCAGCATCCATTTCTCAAGCAGGGATGGATGGACAGGCAGAAGGACACTGCTTGATGCATTGCCCGCCAGGGGAAGGGGAGTCGCTGTGTGTCCGTGGGTCTAGGTTCCGCAGCTGGCTGGGTGTGGAGGGGGCAGGGGCAGGGGCTGGGGGGTGGGTTGTCCCCATGTCTGTCAGCTGCTGGCCACTTGGAGTGTGGGGGCAGCCCTGCTGGGTGGGGTGGGGGGCTGCCTATTGCGGGACTGGGGGGGGCAGGCCTGTGCTGTCTTTGCTCCCTGGCCCGGGAGGGGGGCTGCTCTGTGCAGGCAGAGTGCAGCAGTGGGCAAGCGTGGCCGGGGCTGCTTGTGGTGGTGCAAGTGTGTGTGGGGACTGGGGGTTACTGGCTGGACCCCCCCAGGGCAGGAGACGGTGTTGAGGAGGCCAGAGCAAGGCAAGTCCAGGCGGGGGTGGCGGCTGGTCTTTCCCCAGGCTGGGGCTGGGCTGTGCGTGCCGGGAGGTTCAGGTTGCTGCTGGGTGTAAGTTTAAGCTTGGAAATAGAGGGGGAGTGAGGGAAGTGAAAAAAAGCAAAGCCTTACAGAGCCTCAGCTCCACCGAGGAATGAACTGTCTGCTTCTGGAAGAACAGTACTGATGTATCAGCAGACTCATATGCAAGCTGATCCAAACTGGGTGCACCTCGGGTGTACCTTGTCTGTTAACTATCTCTGACATTGTGCCACCTCAATAATATCAGTGGATGTACCCAGCACCGCCTTGGGGCTACACAGAAGGTGGAAGTTTTTAGTATGTTAATGTTACTTTGTTAACAAAACTGACGCTTGCTGTTTTTTTTTTTTTTTTTTTTTTTTTTTTTTTTTTCTGTTCAATAGTCTCCTCAAAAGTTGTTGTGGACATGTTGTGTATCTTTTCTGTTCTTCCAGGATTCATTTGTCAGGAAAGACCACCATGAAATCGGATGGCTGTGGACAACCATCTACCAGATGGTTGTTGCAGATGCTTTTGGTCAACTTCATTCGTCTTCTTAGATCGCCTTTTCCTATATCTTGAGTTGAATTTTTGTGCAGTGCTATGTTTGCAGTGGTAACGTTGTGGCTGAGGTGTTTTTGATTAAAAATGATCTTATCTGTAGTAGTGAATTCACCATGTGTAGCTTTGTGGAATGACTCCCACAATCATAACATTTTTCTCCTTTGTCACAGATATGAGAAAAGCTCTTTGCAGAGAGACGGAGGAGGAATTAATTATACCTCTGCCTCATCCTGTGAGACCAGAAGACATGGAGTAAATGGAAATTGCGATTCTCAGGAGATGTACTAAGAGTCTTGGGTTCCTTTTCTGCCTTCCCCCTAAGGCCTTGGGTATATTGGGTTCACCATGGGAAGGGCATGTTGCTCAGGGCAGTTATTTCCTACCTGAGACAACGTGGGGTGTGTTTTTCTGCTGTTTTCACTTGTGGTTTTCAGCGCGGTTTGCACTGCTTCCGTTATTGAGAAAATGGTTTGGGAAGATGTGTCTGCTGTTTCTCAGGATTTTCTGCCACTGCCTGCTGGCAGAAAAAATCAGTAATGCGGGTGGAGCCATGTAGGACTTTCCTGAGGTAAGCCTTCAACGGACGGGGACCCCTAAACTCATGTGCCGAGCATTCAAGACAAATGTCCATGGCACAAAGATCAAGGACAACTTCTCAGAGGTAAGCAGCTTTCTCTTTGTTTCCCCATCCTCTCAGGAGCTGTCTTTACTATGGTTGTACACACTTCAGGCTCACAACACTCGTTTTCTCCTCTACTTAGTATTCCTAGTCCCTGCCTGGTGGTGGGTCAAAGTCTACGGGTTGATGTGTTTCCAAGTTGAAAGAGATAAGTGCATCTATTTAAGGTGACATCTAGTAGGATCATATAAAGTAAATTAATCTATGTAGTAGTAGGTGCCCTTATTGCATGCAGCTCTTCTTCAGGTGAGTAATTCATTCTTATAGCATAAGTAATTCTTTTCCCATGTTTCATTCATGATGTTTGTTGCGTGCCTCTCTATGTGTGTGTTTGGCCTGGAGCTGTCCTGCCTGGCAATTAGTGATGGTAGCTAAAGTGGTGTTCCATCAGTGCATTGTCCTGACTGTTTTGGAAAAGACATCTGGTCTGTCTGTGGGCGAATACTCAAGCTCTGGGCGAGTACTCAAGGGCAGCTGGCACAGAGTCTTTTTGCTTTTTTTCCAGCAGTAGGTAAACATTAGGAGGAACCGGTCAAAGGAAACAGTGCTTTCTGGAACCATCAAGTTCTTGTTCAGCAACTTAGTGACTGGTTTGATTTACTTCACAGATATAGAGGCAAGTGGACTGCTCTTTTGAAATAATAAAATTAAAAACAAAGTTTGTCAAACATGGCAGTGCATGTTTGCAGTCTGTTTATTGCTTTTGCCAGTGGTAGATAACATTTATAAGGAATCGGTCAAAGGAAAGAGTGCCTTCTGGAACTGTGAAGCTCTGTGTTGGCAACTCAGTGACTGGCTGGACCTACTGTCCATCTCCAGAGGGAAGCGGACTGCTGTTTTGAAATTAAAAAATAATAATAAAAAAAATAAAAATATGGTGCCGCTCTATGGTGCCCGGAGGACTGCCACTCTGCATGGCAGTTAAAAAGAATGTGGTTTGGAGATGGAGAGCGGCAGAGGTAAAGCAGCTGGGAAGAGAGATATAAGTATTGCAGTAGGTAGGCTGTGGTTATGAGGTGCCTCAGGATGTGCTTTTTTTCTTGTTTCTGCCCTTCCCTCGTGCAGCCTTGGAGAGGTGAAGTCCCCATGTTGTAGAGTGGTGCAAAAAGGTGAGAGGGTTGTCAGCCTGGTCAGTTTGCTTCACCAATGCTAAGGCAAGTCTTTGAAGAGAAACAGCCTGGTTGCTTGTGCTGCACCCTGTTGAACTAAGCCAGACCAAAAACAGGGCTGCTGTTCCTCCTGCTCTCTTTGCTTCTTCTCATCTTGCAAAGGAATGGTCCAGCAATTCGGGTCAATAGGGGATAAGAGAACAAAGGGGTTTCAGAATAACTGCTAACTGTTATGACTATTGCATGGGGCACTATGCAAGCCTCTGACATCCAGCCAAGATGGACAAAGGAGAAGGACAAGGGAAAAGCCTGGGAGGAAGACTATGAGCCTTCAGTACGAGAGACCCCCAGAGGGACCACCAGAGACTGATAACGCATGCGCCAGTGGGCGGGTTTGGATTTCCAGGAACTAATTATAATAACCCTCCTTTTCTAGAAGTAGTAATGAATATGTATTAGCCTAGGAGCATAAAAACCAGCTGCCTGATGTAACTTGTGTGCGTATGGGTGGAGCAGAAACTCCTGGCGCACCCAGCGCTGTTTGCTTACCTCTATTCATTTAATATTGTAAACTTTGATTGTAATCCTATTTGGGACTTGGTCATTTATTACAACAGACAACCTTGAAAAATGCAGACAACCAGAATCCTTACCGCCATTAGGTGGAAATAATGGTGTAAGAAACATTACCACCTCAAAGAGTAAAAGCCTCAAAAGAAATATGACTGGTAACAGGCCAGCAGCTGTGTATTTTCTGTGAAGCTGTGTATTTTCTGTGAGTAATGAAACGTTCCTGCCCAACAATCGGTCGCATCGCACAGGAAGGATGCCGCACGATCCCAGAAACAAAATCTACCAGTCCTGAGCAGCTCCCCACCTCCTCCTGCCAACCACGCTCAGTACACACACTATTCACCCCTCCAAAAAAAAACAAACAACAACAACAACAACAAAAAAAAACACCTAAAAAGTTAGAACATAAACACACACAAAGAAAAAAAACTGAGCTCCATAAATGCCAAAGAGACATGCAGACAGAGCAGCCCCAGCAGGGGTAGTCACAGACTCACCCTTGGCAGATGAAAGAGGTGACTGATGCAACTGTGCTCAGTTTCTTGGTAATCCTGCATCAAGCTTGTTTTAGTCCTCTGGAGAGTTACAGAAGTGGATTGATCCATCTAGAGATTCAAGTACAGCTCAAAAACAGAAGAGTATCCCACCATCCCAAAAAACAGTGAGCCAGCAGCCTCTACTAAATATCCTATCAAGTGAATCCCAAGCACTTAGAAATCCAGAAATCCAGCCTGCCTAGAGAACCCTGCAACTGAGTGAAGGAAAATCAAAGCACTTACCCCAAAGAGCAGCCCAGGCAGAAGGAGCTCTCTGATGGCATGCCTGGGTCTCATGTACCTTTTGGCCCCGCCCAGCACCCAAACCCAATCACCTGGAAAAGGGGAGGGCAAAAGCACAAGGAAGTAGGAAGAGAGCAGGAGCAGTAGCAGCTGGTTTTCATTTCTTTTTTTTTTTTTTTTTTTTTTTTTTTTTTTACAATCTGCTTTACCTGAACAACATACAGAGAGCAGACAAGAGACCTGGGGTGTTTCTAGAAGCAACAATCCCCATGCTTTTGCTGCAGCTTTGAATATTGAAAGGACAATACGACCCAGCAAGTAACTGGAACTTTTTCAAATAGAATTAGTTTAAACAGGTTCATTATCACTTGCAAAAACAGAGAACCAGCATTCACTAGCATGCCAGCCCTGACACCCACCTCTTCTGCTATGCTGACTGCTACTGATGACAGGTGCCGCGCTAAAATGTGCCTGGGCAGCGCCGCCCTAAAATGTGCCCGAACAGACTTATTCTTTAGAGATGAAGAAGGTGAGCCTGCTCACTCTCTAGGCAGTACTGCACTTATGCGGTCAAGGCACCCCACGGTTTCCCAAAAACAAGGTACCTAGAAAACCCTCATAATCATACCTCTAATATGTGAATTCCAAGCAGTTAAAGCCTAGAAGGCTGCAAGGTCTAAAGACTCGACAGACAGCAAACCCACAGGCAAAAGATCCAGAAATATAACAAACTGCCCCTAAACCTGAAACAGACTACCCCTTACATAACCACTGCTGCCATTTTCAGATACATGCTCACACAGGGAGCCTCCATCATACATTTCTCCTAAACCCTGCTCAATCACTTTAACAGCAAGGTTGTAACTTTGATAAGATTTGACATACAGGCAAAGACTCACAGAAAGCCCCGTAATTCTGCAAAAATCATAAGGAACCCAGAACCACAAAACAAACAAACAAAGTAACATCACCATACTATCTGTAAAACTGCTATAATAACTGCTCACCTGAGGAAGAGCTGCGTGCAATACAGGCACCTACTACTAGATTGCTTTACAATGACAGAAGAAGAAATGAAGAAGACTAAGAAAACGAAGAAGAAGAAGAGGAAGAAGATGAAGACGAAGATGAAGACGAAGATGAAGAGGACAACGAGGAAGAAGACTAAGAAAACAAAGAAGAAGAAGAGGAGGAAGAAGAAGACAAAGAAGAAGAAGAAGAAGAAGATGAAAAAAGAAACGGAGAAGACTAAGGAAACAAAGAAGAAGAAGAAACAGAAGAATTAGAAGAACAAGAAGAAGATGTAGAAGAACAAGAAGAAGATGTAGAAGAACATAGAAGACTAAGAAAATGAAGAAGAAGAATTAGAAGAAGAAGAAAAAAATGGAAGACTAAGAAAACGAAGAAGATGAAGAAGAAGAAGAAGAAGACGATGATGATGAAGAAGAAGAAGAAACTATGAAGACTAAGAAAACGAAGAAGTAGAAGAAGAAGATGACAACGAAGAAGAAATGAAGAAGATTAAGAAAACGAAGAAGACAAAGACGATGACGAAGAAGAAACAAAGAAGATTAAGAAAATGAAGAAGAAGAAAAAAATAATAATAAGAAGAAGACGAAGATGACAAAGAAGAAATGAAGAAGATTAAGAAAACGAGGAAGAAGAAGAAGAAGAAGATGAAGACAATGAAGAAGATGACTGTCGCGTTAAGGGGTGTAGCTGATTAATTGTTTCGGGCCCGGTCAGATTCAGAGTACTGAACCAGTCGGACATTCACCAAAAACACATTAACCGTCTGGGGGTCCAGTCAGACATTCACCAAAAACGCATTAACTGTCTGGGGGTCCATTCAGACATTCACCAAAAACTCATTAACTGTCTGGGGGTCTGGTTGGATTCAGAACACTGAACTATCATGGATAACCACCCTCACCCTAGTTGCACTTAATGAGAGTTATCACAATGCAATCAAGTATGGTTTATTACAGCAACAGATAATCAGGTTCTTTTGGATTGCCGGTGATAGTGACTATCTGCAAAAGCAAGCTAGTATGCATGAAATACACAGGTGTTATAGGTGTTACAGATGTTACAGGTGTTATAGGTGGTGTAGGTGTTACAGATGTTTCAGGTGTTATAGATGTTACAGATGTTATAGATGTTACAGGTGTTATAGGTGTTTACAGGTGTCACAGGTGCGCAGCCTAGAAATAAACGTGCTAAAAGGATCAAAGACTCTATAGAGATTTATAAGCAAGTATTCAGATCTCACCCAAAGGCATCCCAATGGGGGGGGGAAGAGAGGCTCAGCCCGTCGACTGATCCCAGGAGTCAGGAGGTCCTAAGGATGTTGTATGTCCTCGGGATGGTATCTCCCCTGACGATGGTATCTTCCCTAACATCCCCTCTCTCTTGGGCCAATTTATATTATTTTCTATCTTTTAGGTGGAGCTTGAGTGGCTTTAGTCAAGCATATCTTAGTTATGATTGGTGTAAAGTTTTCCCGTCTCCGTTTAAAGTAATAGGCTCCAAGAAATTCAGAGCGCATGCTCAGTGAGGGGTGGTCGCACCTTGGAGGCGGGTAGCTTTTGGGATGGAGGTGTGTTTTGGTATTATAATGATATTATAATGAGCAAAAAGTACACTAGGGTACAGCATTTGTCAAAACATGACAGGTCTTTGGCTTAGGGTGGCAAAAAGTGCAGCTTTGTGCACAAGAACAATCGAGGCCCCACCTGATTACAGAGCCTAGCCGTGGTGTCTCCACTCCACTCCACGCTCTGTGGTGTTCCTTAGAGCTAGCACACCAAGTTTCCCCAGCGCGATAGCATCTAAGGTTGGGAGCCTAGGGAACGCTCAGGTAATGCAGTTATGCCCTACCCTGAAAGCCTCTTCAATGCTGTACCTTTTCCTTAAAAATGTGAATGTCAGTTTTATTTTCCTAGTTACTTCAGGCAATTACACCACAATGACGACGACGAAGAAGAAACAAAGAAGATTAAGAAAACAAAGAAGAAGAAGAAGACGAAGACGATGATGATGATGATAAAGAAGAAACGAAGATTAAGAAAATGAAGAAGAAGAAGAAGAAGACGAAGACGATGAAGAAGACGATGATGATGATGACGAAGAAGAAAAGAAAAAGATTAAGAAAACGAAGAAGAAGAAGAAGCAAAAGACAAAGAAGATGACGACGAAGAAGAAACAAAGAAGATTAAGAAAACGAAGAAGAAGAAGAAGAAGGAGACGAAGAAGACGATGACAAAGAAGAAGAAGAAGAAGAAAAAAGAAGAAGAAGAAGAAGAAGAAGAAGGAGAAGGAGAAGAAGAAGGAGACGAAGACTAAGAAAGCATTGAAGAAAATGAGAAGAAACAAAGAAGACTAAGAAAACAGAGATGATGAAGAAGAAGAAGAAGAAGAAATGAAGAATACTAAGAAAACAAAGACGAAGAAGAAGATGATGACAAAAAAGAAACGAAGAAGACTAAGAAAACGAAGAAGAAGAAGAAGAAGACGGTAATGACGAAGCAGAAATGCAGAAGATTTAGAAAGAAGAAGAAGAAGAAGATGATAATGACAAAGAAGAAACGAAGAAGATAAAAAAAATGAAGATGATGAAGAAGAAGACATAGATCAAGAAGAAGAAGAAATAGAAGAAGAATAAGACGATAACGACGAAGAAGAAAAGAAGAAGATTAAGAAAACACAGATGAAGAAGAAGAAGAAGAAGAAGATGGTAACAATGAAGAAGAAACGAAGAAGATTAAGAAAACGAAGAAGAAGAAGAAGATGAAGAAGAAAAAGAAGATAAGAAGAAGACGATAAGGACGGAGAAGAAACGAAGATGATTAAGAAAATGAAGATGAAGAAGAAAAAGAAGAAATGAAGAAGACTAAGGTAACGAAGTTGAAGAAGAAGAAAAAGAAGAAAAAGAGAAAGAAAAAGAAGAAGAAGAAGAAGATGAAGAAGAAAAGAAGAAGAAAATAACTACAAAGAAACAAAGAAGATTAAGAGAATGAAGAACAAGCAGAAGATGATAATGATGAAGAAGAAAAGAAAAAGAAGAAGAAAACGAAGAAGAAGAGGAAGAAGAAGATGAAGAAGAATAATAATTAGAAGAAGATCAAGAATAAGGTGAAGAAGAAGATAATAATGACGAAGAAGAAACCAAGAAGATTAAGAAAATGAAGAAGAAGAAGAAGAAGAAGA